TTCCGGATAATCCGAATTCCGATAATCCGAATTCCGGATAATCCGAATTCCGGATAATCCAATTCCGGATAATCCGAATTCCGGATAATCCGAATTCCGGATAATCGAATTCCGGATAATCCGAATCCGGATAATCCGAATTCCGGATAATCCGGAATATCGGGATTCCGGAAAAAATCGGAATTCCGGATAATCCGAATTCCGGATAATCCGAATTCCGGATAATCCGAATTCCGGATAATCGAATTCCGGATAATCCGAATTCCGGATAATCCGAATTCCGGATAATCCGAATTCCGGATAATCCGAATTCCGGATAATCCGAATTCCGGATAATCCGAATTCCGGATAATCCGAATTCCGGATAATCCGAATTCCGGATAATCCGAATCCGGATAATCCGAATTCCGGATAATCGGATAATCCGAATTCCGGATAATCCGAATTCCGGATAATCCGAATTCCGGATAATCCGAATTCCGGATAATCCGAATTCCGGATAATCGGAATTCCGGATAATCCGAATTCCGGATAATCCGAATTCCGGATAATCCGAATTCCGGATAATCCGAATTCCGGATAATCCGAATTCCGGATAATCCGAATTCCGGATAATCCGAATTCCGGATAATCCGAATTCCGGATAATCCGAATTCCGGATAATCCGAATTCCGGATAATCCGAATTCCGGATAATCCGAATTCCGGATAATCCGAATTCCGGATAATCCGAATTCCGGATAATCCGAATTCCGGATAATCCGAATTCCGGATAATCCGAATTCCGGATAATCCGAATTCCGGATAATCCGAATTCCGGATAATCCGAATTCCGGATAATCCGAATTCCGGATAATCGAATTCCGGATAATCCGAATTCCGGATAATCCGAATTCCGGATAATCGAATTCCGGATAATCCGAATTCCGGATAATCCGAATTCCGGATAATCCGAATTCCGGATAATCCGAATTCCGGATAATCGGAATTCCGGATAATCCGAATTCCGGATAATCCGAATTCCGGATAATCCGAATTCCGGATAATCCGAATTCCGGATAATCCGAATTCCGGATAATCCGAATTCCGGATAATCCGAATTCCGGATAATCGAATTCCGGATAATCCGAATTCCGGATAATCCGAATTCCGGATAATCCGAATTCCGGATAATCCGAATTCCGGATAATCCGAATTCCGGATAATCCGAATTCCGGATAATCCGAATTCCGGATAATCCGAATTCCGGATAATCCGAATTCCGGATAATCCGAATTCCGGATAATCCGAATTCCGGATAATCCGAATTCCGGATAATCCGAATTCCGGATAATCCGAATTCCGGATAATCCGAATTCCGGATAATCCGGAATTCCGGATAATCCGAATTCCGGATAATCCGAATTCCGGATAATCCGAATTCCGGATAATCCGAATTCCGGATAATCCGAATTCCGGATAATCCGAATTCCGGATAATCCGAATTCCGGATAATCCGAATTCCGGATAATCCGAATTCCGGATAATCCGAATTCCGGATAATCCGAATTCCGGATAATCCGAATTCCGGATAATCCGAATTCCGGATAATCCGAATTCCGGATAATCCGAATTCCGGATAATCCGAATTCCGGATAATCCGAATTCCGGATAATCCGAATTCCGGATAATCCGAATTCCGGATAATCCGAATTCCGGATAATCCGAATTCCGGATAATCCGAATTCCGGATAATCCGAATTCCGGATAATCCGAATTCCGGATAATCCGAATTCCGGATAATCCGAATTCCGGATAATCCGAATTCCGGATAATCCGAATTCCGGATAATCCGAATTCCGGATAATCCGAATTCCGGATAATCCGAATTCCGGATAATCCGAATTCCGGATAATCCGAATTCCGGATAATCGAATTCCGGATAATCGGAATTCCGGATAATCGAATTCCGGATAATCCGAATTCCGGATAATCCGAATTCCGGATAATCCGAATTCCGGATAATCCGAATTCCGGATAATCCGAATTCCGGATAATCCGAATTCCGGATAATCCGAATTCCGGATAATCCGAATTCCGGATAATCCGAATTCCGGATAATCCGAATTCCGGATAATCCGAATTCCGGATAATCCGAATTCCGGATAATCCGAATTCCGGATAATCCGAATTCCGGATAATCCGAATTCCGGATAATCCGAATTCCGGATAATCGGAATTCCGGATAATCCGAATTCCGGATAATCCGAATTCCGGATAATCCGAATTCCGGATAATCGGAATTCCGGATAATCCGAATTCCGGATAATCCGAATTCCGGATAATCCGAATTCCGGATAATCCGAATTCCGGATAATCCGAATTCCGGATAATCCGAATTCCGGATAATCGGAAGTCCGGATAATCCGAATTCCGGATAATCCGAATTCCGGATAATCCGAATTCCGGATAATCCGAATTCCGGATAATCCGAATTCCGGATAATCCGAATTCCGGATAATCCGAATTCCGGATAATCCGAATTCCGGATAATCCGAATTCCGGATAATCCGAATTCCGGATAATCCGAATTCCGGATAATCCGAATTCCGGATAATCCGAATCCGGATAATCCGAATTCCGGATAATCCGAATTCCGGATAATCCGAATTCCGGATAATCCGAATTCCGGATAATCCGAATTCCGGATAATCCGAATTCCGGATAATCCGAATTCCGGATAATCCGAATTCCGGATAATCCGAATTCCGGATAATCGAATTCCGGATAATCCGAATTCCGGATAATCCGAATTCCGGATAATCCGAATTCCGGATAATCCGAATTCCGGATAATCCGAATTCCGGATAATCCGAATTCCGGATAATCCGAATTCCGGATAATCCGAATTCCGGATAATCGGAATTCCGGATAATCGGAATTCCGGATAATCCGAATTCCGGATAATCCGAATTCCGGATAATCCGAATTCCGGATAATCGGAATTCCGGATAATCCGAATTCCGGATAATCCGAATTCCGGATAATCGGAAGTCCGGATAATCCGAATTCCGGATAATCCGAATTCCGGATAATCCGAATTCCGGATAATCCGAATTCCGGATAATCGGAATTCCGGATAATCGGAATTCCGGATAATCCGAATTCCGGATAATCCGAATTCCGGATAATCCGAATTCCGGATAATCGGAATTCCGGATAGTCCGAATTCCGGATAATCCGAATTCCGGATAATCCGAATTCCGGATAATCCGAATTCCGGATAATCCGAATTCCTGATTATCTGAGTTCAGTAAACTGCCTTCTACTTCATCATTGTAGAAATGTGCTTTTTTGCCGTCTTTCAAAAATTTGTTATCTAGACCTTTTTACCCTGTAGGCGGGGTAACTTGAAACGGCAGGTGGCAAAAAATTTAAAGCCTTATTATAGTTTTAAAGGTATTTTACAAAATAATTACATTTTTAACTAATGCTTAAAAACTACCAACGGAAGAAAATACTTTTATTATGGATTCTCAAAGATTACCGTTTATCTCCCCCATTTCAAAGATTACCGTTTTCAAATCAAGCTTGTAGCTGGCTATAAATCTTTTTTCCTCTACTTTCAAATATTGTTGTTAAACAATGCTTAACTTTACTGATTTTTGACAAATCGGTTATTGGCCTTTTTAACCCCGGACCTTTATATATTACTATCTATTCTGCGATAAATTCTAGGAAATTATAACTGGAAAAATGTTATTCGACAAAAGGTCCATTTGATCGATACCAAATTTAGGTTCTGAATTTAAATAACATAAATAAAAAATAATATAACCTAGAAAATGTTTTATAAATACCAATAAGCATATAATTATACAAATAAGATCTTTCAGAGCACCGTGTTTGAGAAAAATATGCCAAAAATGCATTTTCATATTAACATATCAAAAAAGTTTATATTTTGAATCTCTAGTAACACCTGGGGCCCGTTTACTAACGTTTTTGTATATAAATAAAACTACAAACAAAACTACTTACTACAAATTTATCACAAATAAATAATATTCGCGTAAAACATCCTATTAAACGTAATTGAACATCATCTGTCAAAAGCGTTTGACATTTCACGAAATTGCCACCGTCCATTGTTCTATTTAAATTACGCTTCTACAAAAATTTTCAAATTATAAATGTAAAGTTTCTACGCGGATTTGAAATAATTTCTCACTTTTTGGACATTCTCTGGATTGGCACGAATTTTTCAAGACTAAGACTGGCCAAATCGATTCAGCCGTTTTCGAGTTTTATTCGGACATTTGAAAGAGAGCTCCATTTTTATATATAAGATATATAAACATTAAAATTTGTCTATCTGACAATTTTTTTTACTAATTGAGATAATTTTATTGAGATACTTATCACTTTATATTATATATAGTATTTGTGATCACAATAATCTAAACTTTATGTTTGATAATAAGCAAAAAATTAACTAGGTGTAAGTTACATTTTGCCTTGAGGCAAGTTGCACAAACTTTTAAATTGTGCTAGAGGGGTTTTTAAATTTTCAAAATCAGTTCAAGATTGTTGATAATATTATGAACTGAAAACTTTGCTTTTTCTCCTAATTATGAAAGAAACGACTGAGTTGATCATCGTATAGCTCTTAAATTTTTAAAATTGGTGCAGCTGTTTTTGAAATAAAGTCGACATCAGTGGTAAATTTTAGCTCACATACACATACACATCTTTCTCAATTTTGGTGCCAAACAATTCAAAATAACTTGAAACGTGAAAAAAATATAAAAATAGCCAATATAATTTTCTAGCAAAAACAAATTTTTTCTTCGGGAAGTTGATGAATATAGATCGGAAATATATTGCCAACAAAAATAGTCATTTAGTGCATTGTGAATAAACAATGTGATATCTATCTCTCACAGTATAGTAACATAATATATAAACATTATTATTATTATATATAAACATTTTTCATCTATGACTAATCTTTAATTTTACCTGTGTATAACAGACAATGTACTAGGATGCACACGGTGTATGCCATCCAACACAGCCATTTGTCCATTCAATGCAGCACTAACAAGAGCACTATTTCTCCAAGTAGTATCTCCATTTGCCTCAGTTGAACGTTGTTGAATCAGATCCCTTGAAGTCATATCTTGATATAAAACAATAGGTTCTACATGCATGTGAAGCAATGATGCCAGTCGAGACACCACTGCACTTTTTCCACAACCACGGGGGCCTACAATTGTAAAACACTCAAACAAATAAAAGTATTTAAAAGAACTATATTATTTATACGAAAGAAGAGTATAAGGTATGATGTATATAATGAGTATATTTCAGTGTAAATGTTAAGTGAACATTTAGGTATTAAAATGAATATTTCTTATTACCTATTAAACAGAAGTCACCAACTGCATGACTTTGCAATATATCATCGATCAGTTGTGCATGATATTCGACATCTACAAATTTAAACTCAGGTTCTTCTGCAATTTTTGGATTCTCTTGTGTATGAAGTCCGCGAGTCTGAGTTGCTGGTATCTTATTTTTATTATCAGCTTCCTAAAATCATTAAAAAATTCTTAAAACATATATAGACAATAAATTTTGTCTATCGTTTTTATTACTATTTGAATTATAATTTCATTGTGATACTTATATCACTTTACATTATAATATAGTATTTGTGACCAGAACATATTTTAATATCTATTGCAGTATATTAAAACAAAAAATTAACTAGATGTAAATAGCTTTTTGCCTTGAGGAAAGTTGCATAAACTTCCAAGTATGAGTAAATTAGTCGACTTCATCAAAAATCAAAAAGATGAGAAAATACTTCAAAGATATTTTCTATTATATTATCTTGCAGTTGTTATTTAAAAATATTCAACAAAACATCGTTTATTTATATAAGTGAATAAAGGATTCGTCCACCCATTGGCTGATCCACGAAAATTGGAGTTAGTCATAAAAAGTTGTCATCTTTGTTGAAATTTGTTAAAAGAATAGCGGAGCTAGTTTTTGGATAGCACTGATTTTTTACATTCAATATACCCTATTAATAGTCCGCAGTCCTCCAGCAGGTACAGTTATAACTTGTCCATTCTTCAAAGTAACCTTCGCCATATTGGTTCCTGATTCTAATTCCACTTTAGGCAATCGAACTGCAGTTTGTGCTTCAGCTGTTTGTTCTGCAGGGGTTATAGAAAATTTTCCTAATAAAGTTTCCACAGATTTGACTTTTTCACGAGGCAGAAAAGTGCGATAGGGATAGAAACGATACAACGCTGAATAAGTTGATAGTGATGGATTATTTTCCTGAAAAGATCAAATGTATAATAATTATAATAAAACATATATATCCCAATTTTCGGATATATGTTGAAAAAGTAGCTAAACCAATGATAAAAAATATTATATTATTATCTCACCAGTAATTTTGCTCCAAGTGGTAAACTATCAGCAGGAAAATCAGGTAATCCCAAAGCTAGGGATTCTGGAGTGAGCAGAGCCGTGGCAGCAGATAACAAAGCGTTCACAGAATTTGCTGGTGCTTCTGGAGCAGATTCTTGCATACTAGTTAGTTGTTCCTGAAAAAATATCCAGTTAAAAAAATATAAGTCTTTGATAAGAAGATCTAATTTTATGACTAAAGTACTTGTAAACCCAAAGTAATCTAAATATATCACATTCATAATTAAAATCACACCTCTCTTTGCGTTTTAGTTACTTTCCAAAAAACAATAGAAATTTAAACGTTGCAAAGTGAATCAAAATTTTCTATAGCTAAGCACTTCTAAAAGAAATCTGAACAAAGTAAGTATTTAACTAGTGGTGTGTATGGCATCGTGCCTTAAGGCAAATTGCTGGAACTTCCCGTACCGTAACAAAATGTTCGAGGAGTATTAAATGTTTTCAAATAGGTTATTGTAAATACTGTAACATTGTCTACATTCAAATCGGATGCTTAATTCTCTGAAAAACTGCCATTTTTTGTACATTTAGCCTTGTATCTTCGAAATGGCTGGACTAAAGCTTTACCAAAAACTAATTACCACTTCTCCCAATCATTACAAATTGAATGTTTTTTCGTTCTCTCAAAAACTCGATATCTATTTTCTGCACTCTTTGCTCCGCATCTCCGTAACGGCCGGACCGATCTTCCGCAAAAACTAATCAGCACTAATCCCCATTGGTAGGAATCGATTGCTCTTTCAATCATTCAAATCGGTTGAGCGGTACTCCCAAAAAAGTCGAAGAAAAATCGTATCCACTCTACACACACACATCCATTTTTTCTGAGGTATGCCAAAATGTTCAGAAACCTCTGAAACGCTCAGATATGCAAAAATTTTCATTTTTGGTTTCGACCCATTACTATAGCGTACCGAAAGTTAAAAAACATAAATAATATAAAATTTCATAGAATATTAAATTTAAAAAATATAAAGATTTCACACATTTTATTTCCCTTATTCTTTCTATTTTAAAAAAAACTCTTCTTATAGCTTTGCCCATCAAACACATATCGCTTTTAGCATATTTTTTGGAGATTAAATTTTGTTCTTCGGGAATTTTTATTGATCGACGACTAATAAAAGTGAAATAGGTAAATTTGAAGAAGTGTAATACATAAAATATTAATCCTTAATAACATAAAAGGTACAAATGCAAAAATATAGAGACCGATTTTTTATCTTAATGCTTCTTGTTATTCAATAGGATTGATAGCATAAATTTATTTTCGTAATGAATCTTTTTCTACCATCAAATAGAATAAAAGCAGTATTATTAATATTCAATGATGAGACATCATATTCCGCAGGTAATTCTTTGTGCACGGAATGTCCTGATTTTCCAATGACAAAAGATACTTCTATTTATAAAAGCAATATTCAATATTTCTTCAAATATTTCTCGCATGTCAGAGTTCAGTATATGATAGTTAGCAAGAATAACGGATATATGTATATGTAATGGAACAAATCAAAAGAACGAATAAGATTTTGCAATATAAAACGTTATTATTCATATTAGAAGTAGTTTGCACGAACGTACCTAGGATAATAAGATATTCCTATGCATGATACGGTACGATTCTTATAAAACAGCGACGTTTAAAATTTCATTAGCATGAATATATAAACTTTAACTTTAACCTTTTTTAAAACTTTAACTTTGCGATGTGATTAAAATTTTAGTAACCAAGCATTAAGCTATAATAAATACAAAATGAGAAATACATAAAATTTAATAAATATGATGTTAATGAAAGACAATCTACGACATTGTTATAAGATTATTTCATAGATTTTTAAAGAGATTTACTTTACTTTGAGATTTACTCAAGTCAATGGAGCTTTTTGGGTCTGAATTTTTTTACTGTGCTCCAATTTGTATAAAATTTTGGAATTGGGTTCATCACTCCCAAGTTCAAAAGTGAAAATAATTTAGACTCCTTTGCCACTTCCCGGGGGGATGACATTCTTCTCAGTGGTGTAATTTTATTTTTTTTCAAAATATTTTCGAATATTGAAGAAAAGAACTAATTATAAGAAAAAAATGTTTTATAATGTTTTTAAATAGGCAGCTACTTTTCAAGCTAATGGCTACTAAAAATTCGTTCCTTTTTGTTGTTTTTCATCGTTTTTTTTGCAAATATCTCCAAAAATATACATGCCAATCAATCATGTAATGAACAAAATTATATCAATTATAATCTTAATAAATCGGTGTTTTATAACGTGTCCTTGGAAAAATGTTAAGGATAGATATGAAAAAGCGATTTTTATTTCGTTCCAGATTTAGCAATTATGCTTTCAAAATAAGCTTTAAAATGTGTACTGTTAAGAGTGTTTTTTTTTTTTCATTTAAATCCATTTCCACCAAAATTAAAATTAATCGTATTTCACCTAGAATTAACTTAAGTTAACCAATTGGTTCAAGAGATTCCAAAATATCATGCAAATAAGTAATAATGTATATCGAATTATTACTGAAAATAATTAATATATAGTACAAAATTATAAAAATTATGGGCAACATTATTGAAGCAATTATTTTGAGTGAAAAAATTCAATGTAATATTGTACCTTTATCGCTGATACTATATATTAATTCTTTCTGAATTCGTTATACTGTTTAAAAGACTGCAATTTTCAATATGAATATCTTATGCTAGAAATCACAAATGCATCAGATGATGAATTTTTGTGTGATAAAATCATTTATTTATAGGTCTACATTTACAAGTATGACTAAAAATATTGGATAATCCTTGGCATTAAAATAAATTGAGCTCTTGGAAATAAATTTGTTCAATAAATTGTAGTGTATATTTCTAATATACTATTTTATTGAACATATTTCAATATGTGTTTCTTTGATGGTTTTACGTGGCTGATTTGAATTTCACAGATAATTAAAGAGTTAAGTGTGTGTTATAAGACTCATTTTATTTAAAGCAGTTGTACATTTAAGATCAACCATATTAATGTATATGCATTTTGGTATAAACTGTAGTGTAAAAAACATAATAATTTTTAACTAACTGATAAATATCAATATAGGTTATTAAAAAAAAATTGAAACTTTTGAATGGTAGACATGGGTACAGAACAACGTCTGTCGGGTCATCTAGTATTATTATAAATATTATAATATGATATATAATATATATATATGTCTATATTGGTTAGATTTTTCTAAATGATTAACCAAACAAAAAAATCAATTAATGTCCTAAATATTCGTCACCATAAAAATATCACATTTGTTCATAAAATTTGCGTTAATAATATAATAGTAGGTTATGGGCAACTATAAATAGTTTAGATTTTTTATTAATAATCCTAACTATAGACAAGCAAATCTGATAATACATGCTACCCTACAGTAATATATTTTTTAAACAGATGTAATTACGTTAAATCTGAATAATACATGCTACCCTACAGTAATATATTTTTTAAACAGATGTAATTACGTTAAATCTGAATAATATATAATGAATATATAGTATACTTATACGATTTAATGATAGCAAATTTAAATAACAGATTATTCATGTTAATTGAAAACTAGGCGTCTCTTTCTATTCTGATGTCAACATCCTATTGTTCACATAAATGCAATCATTAAATTCAAATAAAACAGTAATAAATCAAAACTAAAGTTAATAATACGATTCAGGAGAGTTCTGCATTCGTGATTCGAATAATACGAAATAAATTTGATGTCTTATGTAGGGCACGTCACTTGCCTCATACTTGTACCCAGAGGAATAACGATGAAACGATAGTTTTGCTTTTAAATTATGTCAGAGACGAAGTTATAGTATAAAGTTCTGTTTGAAGTATAATTTGGCATTAAATGTGGGTGGTACACTGGTGGAGCAATAAAGTTTGTAGTTCGCGTTTATTTCGCGGAGACAGCACGACATTCTTATATTACGGCTTACGACGGCTTACGGCTTACGGCACAGCTCGTCTCCTGATTCATTGGCGTGCGATTTGATATTTCTAGACAAATATTTTTATCTTGATGTTCTACATTTGAAAGCATAGCTAGTATATGCATTAAAACTCATATTTCATAATATTTATATTCATAAAACTTTTAGTTGAACTACCAAGTAACTATACGGTGGACAGACAAGATAACGAATGAAGAAGTTCTGAGAAGAAAGGACTCTACTGAAAGAAAAGGAAACTGGATCGGACCCATTCTGCAAAAAGAGTGCCTCCTTCACGACGTCGTCAAAGACAAAATAGAAGGACTGCAAGGAATGGGAAGAAGAAGAATGCAGATGATTGATGACTTACGCGAGAAGAGAAAATATAGAAAACTGAAAGCCGATGCACAGGACCAGGAAGCTTGGAAGCAGAAGTTTGAACAAAAACCAATCATAAAAATTAATAAAAAGTAATTAATGGTCATTGATTAATGGTAATAAAATGGCCGTGGGAATAATAATTAAGGAAAGGAAAGAGAATCATTGATCTTGTGGTGCTATCATACCATAAACCTGCCTTCGGGCAGACTACTAGTTATTGTTACTATTACCAAGTAATTGATGATTGAAGTAACAATAATTGCATCGGTTGCTTATACTATATTCATTATTGAAGTTCATATTATTTACAAAAAATCATTTAGTCAAACTGTGGTAAATATTTTTTTTTTGAATTTAGGAGAGAATTAGGAGTTCCATGAGCTGTTTTTAAAATTTGACTTAACTAACTTACGACATAACTCTTTTTGCAGAATGGGTTCGATCCAGTTTCCTTTTCTTTTCAGCATCGTACTCAGTAGAGTCTATTTTTCGTCCTATAAATTGTTTTTTAAAATGGCAACCCAAACAGTTGTTCCATCTCTTTACGACGAATTTTATTATTGTAATTTCTGTATTAATGATTCATTCATATTGATTGGACTATTTTCAGTTGGAAACATATTGCTCTCTGTATATTTTCAAGTAAAAGTCGATTTCACTACTGCTTGACATCAGGAGAGTATAAAACGTGTGACTTCTAATTCCAATCCTATAGCTCTAACGGGCGACCCCGGTAAATAATAGTAACTTTTTAAA